CAGATCTGGCTGTAGTAGGATGGTGAAAGTAATGGTACAGCATTGCAACAGTGAATAAGTACTGATAAATAATTTTAAACTCATAGTTGCTGTCGACATAGGAAGTAAAGTAAGCAAATAACACCGAATAAACGGCAAGGTAAAGACTATGTCTAATTATAGTAAACACGTACTGTGTGCGTGACTGAACCGGCGCTCGCGTACGGCACCTAATCGCCTAGCTTCATGCCACTACACGTCTTCCCCTCGGCCACCGGGCATAGATGTTCTCGTTTGTCAGATCTAAAATAACTGGACTATTCAACTAATCAGAGATCGCCTTTGCCATTTATGAATTAGCTTCGAAGTCCAGCCACGGCCAAAGCCTTCTCTGATTGGTTATTGAAGTTTGCGATACATGATATTTTATGGGAGTTGTTCTGATCTTTCTCGATCAGAAAATTACAAAAAAATGAACAATTAAGGAGATAATTGAAAAAAGGGTAATTAAAATAAACAATATAAAATCTAATTTAAATCAGATTGAACCTCTATACGTTGGTGAAATAACCTACCGTTCACAGCTGTACTTCACTCTATGCGTGACTCTAAAACACACAAACTGTATCTATTTCACGCGAGACTTAGGTCAATATCTGATCAGAACTCATAATGTACATTATTTGTACTTTGCTTGTACTAAGATAATAAACGGACATATGGTATTCATCGGAAACAACAAAGCGAAAACGTGCTCAGAATATATAACATATTCTCCCCTATTGCGTTGAGCTATGTTACACAATATGACTGTAGGCAAACATTTTTTTCGAGAATCGGTTGCTCAATTTGACAACCGTGCTTGTAATACAGACACTACAAAAATAAGGGCAGGTCAAATCCCTGTGGGGACAAGGCCAAATGTTACGATATTAGGACGTTTGTAATCACTTCAAAATTTCCATTGCACTATTAAACTATTTCAATAAGCTTTTGCATTCGACGTGCTATTAAAAAAACAATTTCAAAGGCAGTTTGGTGTTAATTTTTTTAATACGACATTAATAGGACTGTTCAAAACACAAATTCCATTCAATCTGAGCTGTGGACGATAATAAGACTAGAATGCATGTTACACAAC